TGGCATCGACTGGGTAGTCATATAGGATTAAAGTTCTATTTTGGAAGTTCACTCAAAACAATCAATTAATTTGAATGCCTTACATTCAGCAATCAGCAAGCACCAAACGAATTAAAAAATATTTACTTTTAAATTCAATTCAATAATTGCCCAGGCAATGTTCCGTCGTGAAAACGGCTAATAGGCAGCTACTTGTATCAAATTGGGCTTGATATCTTATAGAGTGCAACACGTAAATCCCAAGAATAAAAATATTTACCATACCCCGAGGCCCGATCACAGCACAGCCTGTCATGTGACCACCAATTTCAACTTTAGAAATAATTAAAGGTAGTGTGCCACCTTTGAAAGATTTCCCATTTTATTTTTCCTAGGATAAGAAGCTTCTGTTTTTACCTAATATCGCAAAAAAAATCAAAAATGGGCCTGGAATAGTGCCTTTTTCGCCTAAAAGTTTATCGGTTTTTCGATATGTATAACAACTGTAGTGGGCTGACCTGCAAACAGGCGTCGGCAGCAATCGCGAATGCGGCGCACATGTGACAATAAGCAAAGGTCATTATAGAGTTACGACGTACGGGAATGAGTTATCAGCTGTCTAATCGTAGACAACACAATGTCGAGCCTTAAACTGTAAGCCTGTATTGGTATTGTTTCTTTTATTTGGCTGTCGAACATTATTTATGGTTTGAAATATGATTTTATGTAAAATAGGTAATTGATATGAAAAAGCCGTCTCTTAAGTTATGACCCCATTTCACCACACGCAAGTGGCAGAAATGACAATGATCAGCTGACGCATTTTTCTTGGCCGAAGTCAGAGCGCGCGGCCCGACGCACCACCACCGCACCACAAAGTATGAGCAGAAGCCGCGCCCAAAGCCAGGGCCCCGGTAACGTGAGGTAGCCGAATCGGGGCAGCGTGCGCTGACCCAAGCCGGGGCCGCAGCTTTGGGCGCGGTCTACCGCATCCCCGCGGGCAGCCCCGGGCTATCACATGACACAGGGAGGACGCGCGGCCCCGGCTTGGGTCAGCGCACGCTGCCCCGACTCGGCTACCTCACGTTACCGGGGCCCTGGCTTTGGGCGCGGTCTACCGCACCACCTAACAGGCGTGTTCGAAACCGCAGGAGATGATGATGAACGGGTTTATCGAAACTTGATTGGATGAGCATATCGGTAATAGCGATTTCAGTGTGTGCATTTATTGTTCATAGTGGTGTGAAATGTGGTTGGGGTACGACCGACAACCCGTCGGGGCGAATTTCGCACTGGGGTACTCAAAATTTGAAGAATTTAAGACGTTTCCATGAGTTTTGAAGGTATGGATAAGTTCTAAAAATCTGGTTCTCCTTATCCGGGCCATTAACTCCATACGGTCCAGGAAAGCTGGCACACTACCTTTAAAGGTAGTGTGCCAGCTTTCCTGGGCCGTATGGAGTTAATGGCCCAGATAAGGAGAGCCGGATTTTTAGAACTTATCCATACCTTCAAAACTCATGGAAACGTCTTAAATTCTTCAAATTTTGAGTACCCCAGTGCGAAATTCGCCCCGACGGGTTGTCGGTCGTACCCCAACCACATTTCACACCACTATGAACAATAAATGCACACACTGAAATCGCTATTACCGATAGGCTCATCCAATCAAGTTTCGATAAACCCGTTCATCATCATCTCCTGCGGTTTCGAACACGCCTGTTAGGTGGTGCGGTAGACCGCGCCCAAAGCCAGGGCCCCGGTAACGTGAGGTAGCCGAGTCGGGGCAGCGTGCGCTGACCCAAGCCGGGGCCGCGCGTCCTCCCGGTGTCATGTGATAGCCCGGGGCTGCCCGCGGGGATGCGGTAGACCACGCCCAAAGCCGCGGCCCCGGCTTGGGTCAGCGCACGCTGCCCCGACTCGGCTACCTCACGTTACCGGGGCCCTGGCTTTGGGCGCGGCTTCTGCTCATACTTTGTGGTGCGGTGGTGGTGCGTCGGGCCGCGCGCTCTGACTTCGGCCAAGAAAAATGCGTCAGCTGATCATTGTCATTTCTGCCACTTTCATGTGGTGAGATGTGGTCATAACTTTAGAGACGGCTGTTTCATATAATTATATTTCATATAATTATTTTGCATAAAATAATATTTCAAACCATAAATTAATGTTTGACAGCCAATACCAATACAGGCTTACAGTTTAAATTCGACATTGTGTTGTCTACGATTAGACAGCTGATAACTCATTCCCGTACGTCGTATAAACTCTATAATGACCTTTGCTTATTGTCACAAGTGCGCCGCATTCGTGATTGTTGCCGACGCCTGTTTGCAGGTCAGCCCACTACAGTTGTTATACATATCGAAAAACCGATAAACTTTTAGGCGAAAAAAGCACTATTTTAGGACCATTTTTGATTTTTTTTGCGATATTAGGTAAAAACAGAAGCTTCTTACCCTAGGAAAAATAAAATGGGAAATCATTCAGAGGTGGCACACTACCTTTAACCCTATTCCTGGCGGGCTCCGCCGGGACAAGAAACTGGCGGGGGGGGGGGCCGATTCGGCCCCCCCCTGAGATCTCGAGAACGAAGCAAGATAGCGACAAGCGGTAAACGGCAACGGATACGCACGGGCAAGATCTACAATTTTTACTAAGGTCATTTTCAGGTCAGGTCAAAGATGACGTCACAGGGGTCGAAAAAGTCAAAATGGCGGCACTAGATATGGAGAGAGTTTTTCTCGAATAACTTTCGAATTAGTCAAGATAGGAACAAACTAAGGGCATCATCGTGATCCTCTCGTCAATCCGCATCGAATGATATATATGTTGACCTCGAAAGGTCAAGGTCAAAGGTTGACCTCAGGTCACGTGACCTCGAGGTCATCATGTATATCATTCGATGCGTCTTGACGAGCTGAACACAATGAGACCATCCACGCGCGTCTGTATCTTGTTCCTGTACGGAGTTATTGGCCAAAAACCTTTGGTGACCTTTGATGACGTCACATGACCTCACAGCTGCCCAACAGCAAAACAGACCTCAAGGTAGTGAAGGTTGATCGTATATGAAGTCATGTATGGTATATGGGGCCATTCCGACCCGTTTTAGTGGTAAAAACAGGGAGTTGATTTTTCCCCCATTGACTTATAATGGGGAGGTCGCGAAATTGACCTGACCTTAGGTCACCGATATCAAAATTCCGAGATATACAAATTGCACATACTGGTACCCTAACTAAACCCTGAAGAGAAGAAATTGATCGGTCAAAAACTCTAGCTCTGGCGTGATTGCAAACTTTTCTGAGGTAGCGTCACCAAACCGCCTCTGGTGACCTGACCTGAGGTCAGATCAACTCAAAATTTTCAGACATGTTGCGTAGAAGCCTTTTAGGAAAAGTCAGAAAATTTGAGCTTCCTAGCTCAACGCGTTTGGGAGATATAACCAAAAAACCTCAGGGGGGGCTCCTGAGGCCCCCCCCCGCCAGAAATAGGGTTAAATGTGTCGTGGCCAGCGGCCAACCCTCCCCAGCCCGTCTCGCCAATCTTGTTGTTGTCGTAGCCCAACGGCTCTCGGTGACTGAGGTAGCCGCGGCTCAAGGCCGCCACGGCCCCACCGTCCCGAAACTGCATAGGGTCCGGTCTAATAGTAGCCGAATAGGCGAAGCCTCGCGCCATGAGCCAAGCTCGGGCACCTCAGCAGCACGTGCTCCGGCATGTCCGGGCCCTCGCGACACACTAGGCAGGCCAGGTCGCTGTATTGTGAGCAGTCGCGCTCGGGGCGGCGTCCGATTCTCGCTAATCTCGCTACAATGCTTCGTCTCGGAGAAAAGCGAGGCGAGTTAACTTCACTATTGAGGGTTCGGTTGAAGGGTCAGTCAAACCGTGAGGCAAACGTGGTCTTGGACCACAGAAATTCCGCTTAACGGCAAAATTTAGTCTCGAGCTTGTGAGTACAGCTATATAAGAAGAGCCGGGCACGATTTCGGTCCGCTCACCGTCCTCATCTGGTCCGCATTGCCATCACAACACGCTGTATGTATGTATGTAAATCTGACCTCACCTTATGCTCCACGAAAGAAGAATATACTGAGAAGATGAAGCTTAAAGCCAGGTCGCTGGTGTTCAATTAATGATAATAACGACACATCCATTGGGTAATTGATATGGGTAATCAATTACCTACTTCTTCCTGAAGTAGAGAAAATAAACGGCAATGCCGTAATATTATTCAATCACCGCATAAGGAACTTAGGTGCTTATTTACCTACATTGGATGTTATTGAAGAAGAAAAAACATGGAACTTAACTCACCATGCATCGTCAGGCTCTGCTGCCCAGCGTTCAATGTCTACACATGATCTATGCTTTAGACGAGGCTACTGAGCTATAACGTTAAGCGTTACCGCATATTATATCCCAGCGAAATTTGCTTTGTCTATGCTCTTCCTCGACGATCCTTAGTTGAGTTGAACCCTTTTTCTGCACAGTACACCTGCACGTGTATGCGGTGTACTAAACAGGAGAGCGCATGTATGCGTGCAAATGTATGCAAATTCAGTGCAAATCGCCTGTTATGCGCGCATCACGGTTGGTGGCGCTCACCGACTCGTCTCGTGCACTTGAGCGCCGGACCCTGACGGCCGAAGTTCAGCTTCCTATCGAGTCCACGCGCCGGCCCAGCCAGCGGCCAGAGGCCACCGATCTCGTGAACTTTGACTGACGCTGATGTGCCCAGCTGCTACCAAGTGACTAGTGAGCCTCTTGGGGTCTGTGAGAGTCATTCATGGAGACTACCACTCTCTTCTGAAGGTATAGCCCATGCAGGACAATTTAAAACGGCGGGAAGCGGGATACACATGGGCTTGCTATCCCAAAGGTATTGGGAGTATGCCCACTAAAATAGCACAAAATTGTTGCAGTTTGCATTTATAGCATTACTGAAACAAGACAGCAAGACTTTAACAACGCGTGAACATACCTACCTATAAAAAGTTAGAAACAATTTGCTCCGGTTTCGGTTTAACACGGCATAGGTTTATTGAAAGATCCATTCCATACTGGGCACTGGTCACTGGTCAGTTATCTTGTTTCCAAGGCAAGTGGTGATCGCCTTTAACTGGTGAAGTCAACCTATGTATGCATGCGGAAACAGCGATGAACATTGAACAGTTGGGGGGGGGGGGGGGGGCAATGGGGTCATCAGGTCAACAGGACTAAGACCTAACAACAAGCTCTGCTTAACATGAGTCGTGAGTCGTGACCTAGAAAATATAGCTTATACGGATGAGCTATGCTCTGTTTTAATTACGCATCAACTATCAAGTTAGCCGTCATTTTTGGGGGGAAACTCAACAATTTGAAGTCAGAGCCTGTATAAGTAAGATTTAATTGATCGAAAACAAGTTCCACGCATGATTTGCATGCTAATGATATATCACTATGCTAGAGGTGCATCTTCAGAACGGTTGTGATGTAGCCTGGACTTGTGACTAGATGCTAGGCACCGTTCTTCCGCACAGTGTAACAATGAAAAATTGGGCGTGAAAAACAGCTCATACGATTTCCAAACAGTCATCTATAAGCATAACGAAGGATGCATCGCACAATGTCAATCGAGTCCGTTTCAAATGTCTGTGAGTCAGCTTCGTAGCTCGTACACCGCCGAGAACTCCTGTGGCTGCCGCACTGCCGAAAACCCAGTCTCCATCGACAGTTTCTCTCCGGGAACGGCCGAAAACCGGAACCGCTGAAGGAGACACGCAAACAACATAAACATTTCCATGCGCGCCAACGTCTCGCCGAGGCAGAACCTCTTGCCGACACCGAACGGGATCAGACGCTCGTCGTGTCGCACTGCGCCGTCGGCCGTGAGGAACCTCTCCGGTCGGAAGGCCTCCGGATCTCCCCAGTACTCGGAGTCCATGTGCACAGAGCCCAGGTGCATCAGCACGATCGAGTCCTTGGGAATGGTGAAGCCGCGGAAGGCGACGTCACTGAGTGTGCTGTGCGGCGCCGCCTGGGGCAGCAGGGTCGCCCGCCGACTGATCTCCATCAGGGTGGCCTCCGTGTACGGCAGGCGCGGCCGGTCGCTGTAGGAGGGCAGCCGGCCGCCCAGCGCAGCGTCCAGCTCCTGCTGCACGCGAGTCTGCACGTCCGGGTACATCACCATCATCAGGACGGCCCACATGAGAGAAGTGGACGTGGTCTCCATGCCGCCGGCGAACAGATCCATGCCGATCACTGCCAGGTTTCGCTCGGTGAACTCACGAGCTTCGGCGTCCGGTGACTCCATTTCTATAAGAAACCGATCGATGAAGTCGCGCGGACTGGAGCGGTCCAGGGTGCTCTGGTGCTCGCGCACGAGCTCACGAAACATGCCCTCCACCATGTCCCGGTGCCGGATCAGCGGCGCGTAGCCGCTCCACTCGGGCATCACGTGCCGCAGCCACGGCGCCACGTTCGTCGGGTTCTTGGGACCCACCGTCTTGAAGAAGTCGTTGACGGTCGCGATGTACTTTTGGGCGTTCGGGTTGTTATTGTCGAGTCGCTGGTCGGCGACCATCCTCCAGAGGATGTTCAGCACCGTGAGGTTGAAGCGGAAGTTGATCTTCACCGGCTTTCCGCAGTCCTGCTGCATCTCTTTGGCCAGTTCCTCGAACTCGTCCAGCACTGTGGACTCCATGGAGTTCTTCCCCAGGCCGAGGTCTCGCAGGTGTCTCAGCGCGAACCGCCGGTGCTCCGACCACGTCGCACCGTCGTTGAACACAATGCCCAGCTTTTGCTGATAGCTGCGCACTAAAAACGCAAACACATTTGGCCGGCCCGAGAACTCGGGCATCGAGCAGGCCTCTTTGATGTCATCATATTTGAGGATATGTACCAGTTTTTGGCCAGTGGGTAGAACAAAGCCGAAAACGTCTCCATATTTCTTTTGAAAGTACGCAATCACACCGGTAAGATTGCCTTTTCTAGCCTCGATGATGGCCCAGAGGATTTCTCCGATTTGTAGAGTTGTGGGACCTGAAACAGTCATAGGACTGTTATCACACACACATCATTCGGACGAAAAAGCGAAAGACGACGTTTTCACCTTATCCATCGCACACGATATTCTAGAAACTGGAAACTAATTCACCATTCTGCATTGAACAATTTTGAGTTCATGCTCTCAATTATGAAAATGTATATCTGAATAAGTGCAAAATAAGTTTTAAATTAAGTGCGTGCTGTATGGTCGGAAAGAAAAATGCCCATCAGGCATTGGACGAAAGAGAACCACACATAGCTATTAGAGCCGGACCGAAACCTGTTCAGAACGTTCGGCTGAGGAGTTGAAGACCACTGACCTGGCGGGAATCCTACCGGCTGCTGCGGCCTCATGTACCACAGCGATAGCACCAGCACCAGCACCACCAGCACCAACGTGAGCAACATGTTCAGGACGCTCGCTCCCGCGTCCAGCTACGGTCACCTCGGGACCAGCGTCACGCACGCACTGCGCTCCGTGCCGCCGCCGTCTGGCGCTCGCAACGGGGCAAGCTTCTTGCCCGTCGAACTGTTTCCGTTTTTGTGGCGCGGTCGTTTGATGTAGGCCGGTTATGAAATGGTAGAGCGTGTTGACCCACTCTCCGCCACAGACGCCGCCGTCGCCACCTCCCTGCACCGACCCACTCCGGCCGGCCCGGCCAGCTGACTGGCGACGAATCACACCCCGCCGGCCGGCCCGGCGCGGACGGCGAGACGGGATGGCCCCGTCTGCAAACGACCTTGGGAACGGCCCCCGGCTATCGGCCCAGTCTATACGAATGGTTATGACCGGTCCGTGCGGCGTGCAGTGCGCATTGCGCAGTCTGCAGCCTGCTGACCTCCAGAGAGTTTCCAAATGAGCAGCTCATGGCCATTTTTTGCGAATATTGGTGTACAGAAATCTGACACACATTTTCGATGTAGGTACACCTATCTTTTTTACAAGGTTCATCTAAAGCAAAGTGCTTTGTTTCTCTTGTGTGATAATAAATAAGGTACGCAAGTGTAGTTAATTTCACCCGTCGACCAGTTCCAACCCTGATCAGTGATAATGCAACCAGGTTATGCTGGTATACCATTGACTAAGCTGACCTTGCCCTTTGAACCATTCAACCGGGCCAGGTGCTTCTCAGTTACACTCAAGGTCACCGTTTACGCTTCGGCGTCACTGCCACGGCTACTGCACGCTCGTCCGACCAATGGATCCCATGATTCTCTCGCCCTATTCGTGATCCACCCAGTCGCCTGAAGAGATCCTCTGGCCTATATTATACTTCCGCGGACCCCGCGCGTCGATGTGCGAGCGGCCACGGTCGCCGATCGTCGGTCGGCGGCGCGCCCCCGTCGGTACCGACAGTGTTCCGACGGTGGCGGGGGGCGGTGGACGCGGCCGCCGACGTCCGGCGCAGGGGCGACCGGTGACCTCGCCCTGGCCGCGACGGGTGCGGATGGTCAGGACCAGAGCAGTGTTGGTGTGAACACAGGTGAACAGCGGGTGTCATCTGAGACAGCAGGGGCGGCCTGCAGTGGCGTCAATCGTCGTGCTGCCGAGCCGAGCCCACCTGTAGCTGTTGCAGCGGTCCGAGGTAGGTCAGGGGCGCCGCTGCTGCAGGGTGGGAGCAGTCCAGTAGGGCGGTCAGTGTGGCGCGGGGAGGGAAGGCGGCAGTCAGATCGGCTGCAGGAGCAGACGCGTATTGTTTGTGCTGGCCCTTGAGCGGAGGAGAGAATGGATAGTGATCGAACTGGCTCGTCCGTCATCGCTGAACGAGAGAAAAACAGTCGACGATGCTGGCACTCGAACCCCTAGTCAATGCCAGGGCGCGCGTCTGCCTCGTGTGATTATGCAAAGTGCGTCCTCTGAGTAATTAAAGATCAACAGCATTGGAGGATACCTACCCTATCAGGTATGTCTACACACAAAACTTTAAAACAAAATCAGAAGCATGGTAATCATCGTACACGGGGGACACTGAAGGCGGTCATTGTTTCGATGCTTGCATTGCCATTGCAATGATCAGTCCCGTTTTGATTCACTACCACCCATTCATTTCAATTTTGTCCAACATTTCGGGTGCGGTATTGATTTTGAATGATATTAATCAAAAGAATTAACAAACTTTGAACTCGGTGAACACAGCTATAACACCTTTACAGATTCAATCAAATAAAGCGTGTTTTTCCACGTCAAACGATACTTAATCTGTAAATAGACATTAGAATATATTTTGTGCAAATATGTCCAAAACGTCGCGAGGAAAAAAACACCGAACTTCTCTCTAAATGAAAATTGACATTTTCAACGCTGCTGTTGTAACTTACATATGATCCAAAAGAGAGGGGCCGTCAAAACACCTCCCTCGTATATGCTATGTAACACATATGCTAGCTTTTTCCAATTGCTGGCGACGCTGTGAGTGACAGCCGAACATAACACGATGACAAGGTGTCCTCTTGTGTTTGAAGCACTGATGTACGTTTGACGATGATCAAACCTTTTAATATTTAACATACATGCGTCGCGATATACTGCCCACATGCATGAATCATGATGTACAGTAGAGTGTAGAGTGTAGGTCCTACATAATATCTGACATAAAACTTACCCATGTCGGTCCAAAAGATCCAGCGATTTTGGCCACCAGACGATATCTACAACGTTTAATTAAAAGACAAACTTCCCGTTTGTCATCTTACGCCTAACGTGGCCTTTCAGCTGAAATAATTTAAAACTTTTACTGTGCCGAAAGGATTCGTTTATTCCAATCATCCATTCTAGCATCAAATTCGGACTTATCATTTTCAAGGGCACCCGTTTTGATGCAGACAAAGACCGCAAAATCATTCGATGGCCGGGCCCGGGTGAATACACTTTAAGTCGGTAGCTACTTAAATATTGTACCTGTATTCAGCACATGTAACACGAAAATGGAAGCAAAACGCTTTATTTTGTCACTATCCCTGGATATTTCTGAAAACAGTACCCAGAAGAAAAGGGCACACAAGTGATACAGAGAATAAGTACGAGTAGATATACCAACCAAGCAATGCACATTAAAACTTTGTCCTGCTTTACAGATTCGAATATGTTATATGTTTCAAGAAATCCCTCATATTATATGAGCTTTCCATCGTGTTGATGGTTTATTCTCTCTTAAATTAGCTTAACCTCTCACTCTGTACAACAGTATAGAACCTTAATGATATCTAACGATTTTTTGTTTCTGTGGAACTTTATCGCTGAATAGCTGCTTTTCTGTCCATTCAGTTCAGCAATTCTCCCATTCCCGCGACCTTTTCCCGTAATCCAACATCAACAGACCGCCGAAATCCATTTTCCGTAGCGCCTCTCTGCAGCATCTGAAGCAGGCCAGGCTCTGCGCTCCTGACGCCCGTCCACTGATGGCGGAATTGCCGGCATCTCGCAACTCAATATCGCTCACCCGCTCGCTATCCACTGGTCGAGATTATCTGTCGATGCAGAGCGCCTCCGACGCGATGGGGCAGTCGTATCCATGACAACGGCGTCCGTTCATCAACACCTCAGATGCAGGCGACTCATTGTAGCGGCATCTCTATAGGAGGAACGAATGTCTAAACCCACAGATAGACGAGTGTCAGCGACAACCCAGAAACGCAGAAGTTCTCAGCGCTTTTCCAGCCTTTTGTTTGTAAATCACAATATCGCAGGCGACAGAAGCTCAAAAGTCTATCTTAAAAAAAGTTGAGGTACTTTACCAAAGACTGAGCCATATACCTGCCGCTTAATTTTTGTTGGGGAATGTTTTTGAAGTCAGTAGGTATATATTATGTTTTCGGTTTGTAAGATTTTAATGGACCAATAATGCTTTTTCACATACTACCTTTGACTGCGTGGAATACGGTAGTCTTTTAATCTTTATTTGACTTTGTATCGCAAGCTTCGTTCAAATAAGATCTATATAGTTGTATACACTTTTAGTTACGGAATGTGCAAATAACCAATTATGAACGATCCCAAGGTACTAAAACAATAAAAAATACACGAACGTTATCCAATACCCATGGTAGTATTAACTTTTTTTAAAGTTTGGGATGCATCTCAGTGGCGATAGCTATTTCTCAGGCGCCTTGATTCACTCGGGTCATCTCATAGGCATGAGACGAGCTAGAATGTCACAGGGGACAGAGACTTAGGACGCAATGATCCCAAAGTTCGCCCAGCGCAATACATCATCGTGAGGGGGTAACATGTATCTGATTACAGGCGAAACTGCATCACGATATGCAAGGGACGTGACGGAGTTAGCATATGCAGAAACAGAACATGATTTAACAGCTATTATCAAGTCGTGCATGGCTAAGAGAAGCATATAGTGCTGCAGTATTATTTTGGACCGTGTACTAACCATCACAGCCGTTTGCCTTCATTTAACCACTGTCTCGGGCGTCAGAACAGTACCAATTATTTGCTTACGTGGACGTAAGCCCTGCTGTGAAGAGAGCACTGGCACGTGCGCTATCTGTATATGCTTATGTTAATGCGCGTTACTTAGTGTACTGTGTGCTTCTCATCCACATCGCAGAAGCGACTGTATAGATTGACCGCGGTCAACTTTACTGAACGATTAGATAAGCGACTGATTAGATATCGCCTCCAGCAGCGAGACCCACATACCTAATATGCTTTGAAGCAGATTGTCAAACAAATCTCTCCAAGTACTGTTCCACTTTCTATACTGCGGCCAATGCTATACGACCAGGTACTTTGTGCTTCAGGATTTCTGTGGAGGCTGCGAATGAAAAATGCATAACGAGGTCAATTTACATATATCGAGACAGCTTGCACTCAGATTCGTAGCTTCACAACCCTATGGTTATGACAGCCCACAGCAGCTGGGCCGTAACATGTTATCTTTGTGCGACCCGACCCGCGAATAAACGTCGTAGACAGACTCTTCACGGGACAGAGTAAAATGACTTCGCATGTCTTGGAGATAATTTGTTTCGAAAGGGTCTGCAGGACTGGAGATAGGCCGAAATTTAGGGTAATGGTGGTGTGGTCAGACTAAAACTCGATAACTAAAAGAGGATCCTTCGCTCGTGATTTAAGTGAAAGGCAACATGCACTATGCAGTTCTGCTCAACATATCCAGAAACGTGAAGACATAGTTCCATTAAAGTTCCGTCTAAGAAAAGCGAGCCTGACCACCATGCCTTTGTTTGAACAACATTTTGAGGCATTGTATTTCAATAATATTGCATTGGAATTATTATGTGCCTTCTGAAGTGTAGGTTGTACCGGAGGTGAAGCATGCACACACTTTGCGGTACCCAATACACATACAGGAAGGACTCCTGCTGACCTCGGTGTCCCGCTTTCCCCGTCCCTGTCGCGGGACTTTACCGCTCCGCTCGCCTGTCCGTCCCGCGGACCAGCCTCTCCCCTCCCCCGCGGCCTCACCACGGGAGGGGGATGGTCGACTCCGACGCAGGTTTGGTATCATCTTACCTGTTGCTAATCAGGCGCGGGATTGCGACCGGGGTCATTGATCCGGCTCTGTTCGTCGTCGTTACGCGGCGCAGATCGCCGGCACGGCCACCTTCAGGCCGGCCAGTGAGAGCCGACGGGTGAGGTGGTGAGAATAGGGCAGGTGAGAGGGCGAAAAAATGGGGTGAGATGGTGAGCGCCGAGGGAATGTGAGATGCGTATGGCTGAATGCACACATCTCACTTATATAAGTGAGATGTATAGTCTGTAGACTATAGTCTGCTTCTGATGGTGTTGCGTGAATAACTGTAAAGATCCTTGAAAAAAACACACTGGAAAAACAAGATTCGATAAAAAGAGATGTTTCGGACCGATGCGGTTGTCGGTGAGCACTGTCCGTCCGTCGCTGAGCGCGGACGGCGCGGTGACCTCGATCACCGCCAGATGTATCCACTATCCAGCCCTGTCAGTCTCACCGGGCTCCGATCAACGTCCGCTTCTGTCGCCTCTGTCGCTACACCGTATTTGCAGCCGGCTTTGTGTGGGTGTGTGGTGTTGTATGCTGCCATCGAACCACCGCACCGTGCAGCATTCACCACACAGTGCACACAGGAACAATGTTTTTACCCGCTGCCCTTTGTACGCTGTGCTCGCTATACCTTTCACTGCTGGCCACAGTCTGCAGCGCGTCGTTTGTCTTCCTCAATACATCCAGTTTCAGTCCAATTCACGGGCTGCTATGCCCTCCATGACCAATGAGCCCTGCCTTTTCTTTCCGCTATCTTTCTCGATCCCTGTTCAGTACCCACTGCCCAGCGCCTAGTGCCTGGTGACCACTGTTTGCTGCTCTCTGCCCACTGTCATGTCCGCTTTTCTTCACCGGCGCTATCATGTCTTCTCTTCACAACTCGCTGCTCAACTGTCGCGGGCTATCTACCCGTCTGCTCAGTCCGCTGCTCTATGCTCGCTGTCTTCCGCCATCCTCCGGCTGTCATGCCGCTGTGATGTCTGCTGCCCTCTGATCGCTGCAGACATTCACCGGCTGTCATTTCCGCTGTCATTCCGCTGCCCTCAGCCCGCCGCGACCACCCAGAGCGGCAGCCTGCTGCCGGTTGTCGCGTCCAGACCATTCTCTCAGCCCGCTGTCCGCTAGCGTGTCCGCTATCGTGTCCGCTGCGACGATCCGCCGCCGCTGCCTAGGTCGATGGTCATATTCGTGAAATAAGACGCATCGATCTGGGAGCGTCCGACTCGGCGCAGCGAAAATACGTTTCAGCAGCTGCCCGTCTGCTCGGCGCCACGCGCCTCCCGGTCGTCCCGCTCTGGTCTCCGCTCTGCGGAAGCGGTGCTTTATCAGACAACAGATGCGTCAAATGATGTCAGTATGGCAATTTGTCGGGAGGGTTGAATGGAGTTTCAGCCAGAGGAGGAGATTACATGGATATGAGGACTGTGATTTATGATGGATGCTGGCAGTCCTTGCAGCGCACATGCCATCGGGAGAAATGCAGCTTTCCGCATATACGGTTATCGAGCGAAACACAGCGATAATATTTGTAAAGGGTAAATGTATCCACGGAAGCTTACGTAGGCTGCTGATTTACGATGCCATTATTAAATTACCCTTTCCATACATTTCTATACATGTCATATTGTGTAACAGAAGTTATCATAGTGTGATGCATTTCCACTATCAAAACCTATCGAGACAAAATTCCGGGCTTTGTTTACTCGACGGCTTGTGCAATGTTTGGGAGTGATCAGTACGTCGTGTAGTGTTCAAATAGACTCCTTTTCATTAGCCGATGACCTAATCAAGCGCAAATAACCTTTACCCACTGTTAGCTGCACGAACAATTACCACAATGCTTTGTATCGATAGTGTCGCAACTGAACTTTGTCGCACGGTCTCTGTGCCTCTGCGATAGCTGGGTGCCCAAACCATGTGAACTTTGAGAAATTAGCTGGCCACTGAGGCTAACCAGCGTAACTAGGCTAGGTAAGTACCATTCGGCTGCTAACAGTGAAAAGTATTCCCTGCAATCAAGAACACTCCAAATCAAACCGATCATATCAATCGCGACATTGCCATTTTGCCAAACAACAACTCTATTCGTGATGTTATGTGTTTAAATTTATGATAAAATTTTGTCCCTTAGTTCCCAAATGCCTAATTAGGCAATTGGCCGTTCAACGGTTAAAATAAGTAAACAATTTTTTTCTGACGCCATTTCATTCTCCGTCACCCACAGGTCAGAATGAAGTGAGAAGCTGACTACAAGCACAATCCATCGCTGGCCGGATATCGAACACATTCCTCACTTCTTCCAATCACGCCAGCCTCTTTTCTTTTGTTTCATTTTCGCCTGCAGTTCATCACTGTTTCTACCTTAGTCATTTTGGCGTTGACACTCTGTTTCTACCGCTGCAGTGCGATCCTCCAGGCTGTTCAGCACCACCCCCCTGAAACACCGGTTGTAAAAAATGTTTTACCAGACATTTTGGTTGATCTTACATTACTAACCACTGCCACTCCCTTCACCCAACCGTCGCTCTCTCTACGTCGGATCCTAGCCGTCCGTTAGTCCCTTTCATTCCCCTATTACCCCTTTATCCGTCTATCTCCCTCCCCGCCCGTCCGCCACCCGGCCCGGTCCCTGGCAGCGGCCCGCGCTCGGCGCGATCGGCCGCGTCGCGCCGGCGTCATGGGCTGCGGTCTCTGCACCATGGAGAAGTGTCACGAGGTGGGCGGGACGCACGGCAAGCTGCGCCGCCTCCTCCTCTGCCAGGGAGGAGAGACCGAGCCGGCGCCCAGCGTCCAGAAAATGGAGATCGGTGAGCTGGGAGGACGGGCTCGGGGATTGATGCCGGTATCAAACGCCGTATATTATAAAGTACATATACTCGTAAAACACGCTAATATATGCCATAAACAGACGTTGCAGGTCCAAAACTATGTGCTGGCTGTTGACAACTTCCCCGCCGTATTGATCACCTATTTATAGATGTTCGGGAAGGCGATCAGTGTGCCCGTTGAATGCTGCTAATGCTGAAACTTTCTGTGGGGATCATGAGTTCTGAACTGATCGATGAGCAGACATCTCGCTGTCTCGTGGCCTTAGCGCCCAGCTGATGGCATTCTAATGACCAGATATCACTCACTTCTGGCATAGTTTGAGAAACCAATTTAAGCAAAATCATGCCTACGTAATATTGGTTGGAAAAGAAAAATAGCAACTTCCTAAAACACACATTAATATCCGATATCTATTTCTATTATGCAAGTTCCAGTGGTGCGTTTCACTGCCTCCCCAGTTAAACATCCTATTCGGTGTGCGGCAGGTCTGCGGTCGGCGGTCCTGATCCAGCGCTGGTACAGGCGCTACCTGGCGCGAATGGAGCTGAGGCAGCGTTACACCTGGACCATCTTCCAGTCCATCGAGTACGCCGGCGAGCTCGACCAGATGAAGGTGAGTCTCGTGACGCGACGGTCCGTAAAAGGGTTAAAGAATTCAGATATAGAGGGAAAGCTCGACGCACAGTTTCCCTCACGTTTGAGTGGGTGGCTGTGGGCGTGGAATGCACAATATAGCTTGCAAACCAAGTGCTAATGTTCCTTTCATAGTAGTTCAAACGACCATAGGCTGGCAAGGCCACGTGTCTTACAGGGAATTTAATTCGATTTACTGGTCATGGAAGGCCAGGGGCCTTTCTCCCGCTTCCCACCGGGCAGGGAAATGTGTGCACTGCCAAGTCCCGATACTTCCGTAACGGCGGGAGGGAGAAGGTGCGCATCGTCCTATCTTTACGTGTAACAACGATGAGGCGCACTGACCAGTGACCAGTCTCTCCCCACACGGGTGGGTGGGGCAGAGGACAGAGGGTCCAGTGCCGATCAATCTACTCCGCCACGACCCTCGAGAGTCCGCAGGGGAGGGGAGGGGCCGTGCGAAATTAGATAGAGATCGTTAGTACAGTGATTGATCAATTAAACTGATCCTAATTACAAAGGAGAGTGTATATTGAAACTCGTGAGACTAACGTTGTGTGATCGTAGCAAATTAGGGGACCTAAAGGGGACGTGAGTGATGCTTCAAAGCTAACATTAGGTAGGTACTGTGTGACCCATTTCAAAGATAAATTCTTCAAATAATGTTTGTGACACTTAGCGACTGTTGCAGAAATTTGCCTTGAAATGACATTACCTCGTTATTTTTCCTTTGGATATTCGTTTTGAAAGATAAACTCAGACGCAAAGTTGTAATAATCCTTCACAAACGTTATTTTTCTTGCATAAAATGTCAATGTTCATGTTGGAGATCTGAGGAATTTTACATCTGAACAAAGCAGCTGTTTCAAATGTAAAGAACTCGCTGTCACAGCCCAAAGGAATGCTGCAGTACGTGCTCGACAGTTAGGGCACTTACGAATAAATTATATCTTAAATGCCGCGCCATACGCTTGAAACAATCATCGTCTTCATACATACACCAGAGTTGACGCATGCACGACGTGCCTTTCATAAAATATGTTTTTCAAATTTATTACGGAATGTCATGACATCAGCGAGTTAGCACTTTAATGTATATCTCCGCGCATTCTCCGTTGTCTGTCGACCTTCTAAACACTCACTCTGCAAGTCCACACGCCACATTGAAAAGGCCATTCCAGCGTACACCAGCAGCAGGGACGGCTCACCGGCTCACGGCCCCCGCTCACGTCCTGCTGTGATAGATCACCATTAGAACCCTGCGACCACCGCACGCAGCCCGTGCATTCAGCACGCAGCCCGTGCACTCAGCACACGGCATCCGGCCGCCAGTCGCGGCACGCCATCCCTGCACTACGGCGGCCCGTCTGTGGTTGGTGGTGCGGCTCTGTACCGGCCGCTATGCCCTCGTTAGGACAGCTCGGACCATTACACAGCCCCCTGCGGTCTGTGCAGCCACTGTGCTCATACACCAGCGCAGCCACAGCATGGAAACACTCCAGTTTTGGAATGTCCAGTCTGGAACTGACGGCAGAATGGCTCCAGCAGCCATGCCATGGACGATCATAAACATGGCGGCGAGGAAGTGGATGCCGGGAGGGGCGAGGGGGTAATGGCGGCGGGGCGGACATTGATCGTCCCTTCCCCTCCCACTTCCGCGAGCAGTGACACATTTGACACAGCAGGCTATGGGCCGACCCGGCGAAGCCTTTCTTGTGAGCTGGGCGACGACGGACGGGTCGCTGGGGTCAGACTTGTGAGTGAGTGAGTGTAGCTATGATACATTGCCAGCGCGATTCATTAGCCGTGTACATACACCAGCATTGTTGAGGAATATCAGCTAATTCTAACTGAAGGCCCACGAGTGTTTATGAAGGTATGACTTTTACGTTAGTTGTCTCTGTCTTGAAGTTTCAAACAAGTTTTATTTTTCAAGGTATTGGAATGATTATACGTCCTACACGGCGCAACCCGTTAAAATTTAAACGTTTGAATTTATCACTTTGTTATTTACAATCATATAATCGATGCTTCGAATGATCAATCATTTTGAATGGTTCTTGAAGAAAATGGAAGGAAGAAACTGCCGCCTCGTGACCTCCAACGTCACGCCTCGCCACGCGCCGCCAAGCCACAGTCACGATAAGCTGGGAACTAAGCGACGCGGTCTCAAAGTTCATCGGTTCAACTTATCAGACCTTATCAGCGTGTGCCGATCGTTTTGTAAGTACCAACCACTTACTCACATGGGGAGAAGATGGCCTATACTTCTCTGTCTGACAATCATGTGGCGAGCTGACCTCCAGGCCTGTCACGGTGACACCAAGCAATCAGAAAGGCTTGGTTCAAATCTCCTCAGAAAATTTTCAGTGTTGGTGGCAGCGCCAATTCATGAATACTAAGGGCGCAGTGCTTCGCTTCATGCAGCCTGAATTCCCCAAAATAATTTCAGCTTTAGTCACCAGCATTCCAATGCTTTGTAAAAAGGTCTGCATCTTATTTTATTCAGATACGAAGAGCTTTACCATAAAGGCGTCGATGTCCCCTGCACACAAAAGCCTCTGGCTATACCGAAACGATACAATCATGAAGCAGTCGCAAGCAGAACGATGCAATTGTCGAGCGTGGAATGCCTCTGAAGAATGCTTCGGACTGCGGCAGGCCGTTACAATCCGATCGCCGATGACGGGTGCACTGATACTGACTCATGTCTGATGACATCAAACATCAGAATGACGTTATCGCAACAGGGTTCTGCATGACCCGACGATGTCGTTACAAAGTGATTGGCGCGGTCCGGTGCCCCCGGGGCGGCTGGCGTGCTCCATAATCGGCTAACCGGCCGCGGGGGAAGCCGCACTGTGTGCCGGGGGTGGTGCCGGCCCGGCCCGTGGCACACGGCGTCGCCACTCGACCGGCCGGCCGCGACACGTATCATAAGTTAACCACGAGCCAGGGGCGGCGGCGGCGCCATCGATTGTGCCAGCTACTGCTGACCGAGCTCCGTCCTGGGACCGAGGACCGGCGAGTCGCCGCGCCAGATTCGTCTGACCACAGTCGGTCGGTCTCTGGTGTCTCTTCGGATGGTCGACGGCGAGCAAAGAGACAGTGACTGACGTCAGCGAGATTTTGCCAGGATTCTGATGTAGCCAAGCTCTCAGAGCGAACACCAGACATTTAGTTCTATTCACAAGCCACATAACATCAACGGTTCAAAGTCAACGTTCAGATGATGCCCAAAACCCACTTTAATATGAAAAAAAAACGGCCATTGTCCGGCTATGTGCGTGTCCAATCGTCCAAATTGGTTCGTCCAGTCGTCCAATATGTCCAAATACACGACTCAACTGCTCATTTCATCACCTGTCACTGAACTTTGGCGAGCGTTTTCATCTGCCACTCCATGGTTATACGGCACTTCCTAACGGCTACGGGATCAGGGGTCAGCGGGAACATTTAGTGAAACGTTACGAACATTCATAGGCTTTTAGTTTATCTAACCGTTTGTTTGCTTACCTTTATTACGCAATACACGCTGTTCCCCATCTCTCTTTTTTCCAATCCATTCCCACTTTTATGCACAAGCTCCTTCTACTCTTCTCAAGAACACCGCTAATGCCACAAGAAGGTATTTCTTCGTGTCCCTCAAGGCCGTTGAAGCATCATCAATCCTCTTCATTTTCATTTATTTATTTATAACACACATTACATAACCCATTGATACATCACCCTGAGAGTCCATTCGTCAGCCCTGCCGTCTCTATCTCCTCAATCTCTCTCTCTCTCTCTCTCTCTCTCTCTCTCTCTCTCTCTCTCTCTCTCTCTCTCTCTCTCTCTCTCTCTCTCTCTCTCTCTCTCTCTCTCTCTCTCTCTCTCTCTCTCTCTCTCTCTCTCTCTCTCTCTCTCTCTCACTCTGTCGCTCCACAGCTCACCATTCACCAGTCCCTGGGGCATGTCAGCCACCGTGCCCCGCTCGTTTCATCCGCCTTTGGGGTCCCGCGGTCGCCGGTCGCCGTTAGTTTGTCGGTCTTAATGCGCTGGGGCCGAGCGTGAGGTCCCCAGGAGCCATTTCAGACGCGTGACCCGCCACCGTGGTACTGCGGCTATCACCCACGTTCAACCGGGACGACAGAGGAACGAGGAAGGGCAGAAAACGAGGGTCAAAGGGGACGAGAGAGAGAGAGAGAGAGAGAGAGAGAGAGAGAGAGAGAGAGAGAGAGAGAGAGAGAAGAGAGAGAGAGAAGAGATAGCCGGAGAGAGAGAAGAGAGTCGGAGACAGACAGAGACAGAGACAGACAGAGACAGAGACAGACAGGGATAGAGACAGCAGTCAACATGAGCTGACGTGACCGATCGCAAGTCTGTCTTCTCTTCCACAGCTGTACAACTTCTTCAACGCGCTGCTGGAGCACTTGGAGGACGTTCAGGACCAGAAACCCGTGCTCCAGGAAATACACACAGGTGAGGATGAAAAGGGATATTCTCTCAACTAATCGCAAAGTGTAGCATTGAGTTGGCATTGAGCGGAAACTCAAATGGCATATGCACTATGCTTTATGCGCACTGTGCAGTATGCACCTGCATAAATATGTGTCAGGTGAACATGGCTGCGATTCTAAGCAGGCAGGAGAGGCATGTATTATTGTATTATGCTTGAGTCCCTTATATGCGAGTCCCATATTATCTTTTAATGCAGCGGTAACCAGCAATAAGCAGATCCAACGAGACGTGGTTTTCTTATAGACCGTCCGCTCTTTCACTTTGCGATGTTAACACATTCAAAGCCAAGGTCATGAGTGAAACGTCTAGGTACTGCAAAGACCGACAACTGCTTCCTGAACTGGCTGGCTTCGGCTGACCGGAATAGGATCCCTGTCTTCCGTCATGTCGTCACTTCAAATTAGTGGTGTGACATTTGCGGACCATGGCCTCTTCCTACTGCTTAATGTTTACCCTGGACGAGTTACAACCGCTTGACATGGACGAGGCCGTACATAGTTTACGACGATCGCATAGCCGTGTGATAGGTATTGTGAGAATTGGAGCTGAATGGTTTATCGATACACTATCCATCACTACTAAACACAGGTCTTGCTGGTGATTAGCATTTAGTAGCTGTTTAGTGCTTACTCTTTTAAAATGATAAATAGTAAGCATAAATTTTCTCTCCTACTCCACCGAGCATGGTCAACATTTGGCTATATTTACGACAGAAGACATCTACCCTATTAGTACAGTCTGCTATATATCGCTCCACATTTAAGTATTTTGTTATGAACGTGATAAAACCGGGTGCATCTGGTTTTTTCCTCAAATTTCTACACTGCCATATGTAAGCTTTACCGAGCAGGAGCGCCGCCCGCAGCGGCGCCGCCGCCAATGGTCCGTTGCGCTCACACGTGCCCAGCACTATCACCGACGGCACAAGAGGCGTGGCATCGCCGTGGCAAGCGAGAACATTCTTTTGAATTCTAACCAAAAGGTTTTACTGGATTCGCAGCTCCAAAAAATATGCAAGATGCTTTCAACGGGCCATGAACAACGATCACATTTTTCGTCGTCCCTAATACGGTATAAAAACAGGAGCCTGTTAGTAGGTAAAATCCTATGTAATAGACGTAACTGTAGCCAGCGAATTTTGAAGTCATTTGTGCTTTCATAAATACATTTAAAGACTTCTTTCCATGAGCCTGTTTGGATTTGTAGTTCGCGTTCCCATTTTTCTTGAGCTTTATTAGGAGTAGTTGTCACAGTGAGATTTATCATTTGTTTGTATGACCACTTTGCCGTTTTGTAAGTATTGTTTAATTCCTCGTATAAATCAACCTCATGATGATTCATTGTTTGTTCGGGCCTGTTCAGTTTGCATTTCCAATCTCGTGGAATTCGTTCCAAAATAGTGTGCCAGGTAAGGAAGTGACCACAATTATACTTCCTCTGTAGTTCATCACAGTGCATGATACGCCTAGCGCTGGCATTATACAAATCTTTAATTCTCAATACGCCATTCGACAACATCCTTCTTTTCGGAATGCTGGGATGGTTATCTAATCGCAATGCCTGATTGAGCCAAAGGGACTCGTTTATGATCGACAACTCAGTTAAACTGTTACCCTGTGAGATAGTCTGCCAGGCAAGTACCGTCTCTATCCAGAAAGGATTATGCACTACATCACATAACTCTTTCTTCGCTATGTTGCATTCAAAAATACTAAGGGTATCCGTAACACTGAGTTTGCTTTTCATCACGTCTTTCCATTTCCCTCGGGTATCATCGTCAAGGTATTTCTTGACCCATGTTATTCTAAGGCTGTCGGCCTGTACTGACGGATCTGGCACTTTTAGTCCTCCAAAGTGATAGTCATTTTTCATTGTTGTTCTCTTTATCTTATCCTTGCCTTTGTTCCAAATAAAATTGAACATTATCTTTTCAATCTCTTTTAATTGCTGTTTGTCTGGTTTCTCTATTACTGACATTGTGTATACCAACTGTGACAATGCAACAGATTTAATTAGATGGACTCTACCGTATGGAGTTAAGCCAAACTTGAGCCATGGGTTTAGCGTTTTTTTAAGCTTCTTTATTTTTTCAGGATAGTTTAGGCTTGCTAAATCTGATTTCACTGGGTCGACCCGCACACCTAAATATTCTATCGGACCTTGTGTCCAACAAAGTTCCAGGTCATCACAGATCTTGTCAGTCCTATGCTTATGTTTTCCAATCCACATTGCATTTGACTTGTGCCTGTTAAGCACTAACCCAGATAATCCACCAAAGCTTTCAAACATTTCCATACACACACGTAAGGACTGCTGAGACCCATCAAGTATTAATGTTGTATCATCTGCATAGCTCGAAATTTTTACCTCAGTGCCATTAAATGTCATACCCTTAATACGCTCATCCCTACGAATTGACTGAAGGAGCGGCTCCATACAGATGACGAACAATAAACAACTCAGGGGACATCCCTGTCTTAACCCCCTCTCAATCTTGTATGGCCTTGACAGGTGTCCGTTCATTGTTATCTGCGCACTTACAGGATTGTTCGGACATTGCGTGTAAAGCATTGAGACCCATTTTATAAAGTTCTCCCCGAAACCAAATTTGTGCAAAGCAGCTTTCAAGTAGTCCCAGCTCACACAATCATATGCCCGCTCAAAGTCACAGAACACGAACAGCCCTGGTAAGTCACGTTCACTCGATTCTCTTATGATATCAATAACCAATCTTACATTCTCGCCTATGTATCGTCCTTTTAGAAAACCAGTTTGGTCTTCATTAACCAGACACTGGATCACCTTTCCAAGCCTTATGGCTAAACTTTTTGTGATGAGCTTGTAAGCAACATTCAATAGACTTATTGGTCTTAGATTTCTTACCAGACGTTTATCCTTTCCCTTTTTTGGAATAATTGTTGTTATACTGCTCTTGAATAGTTTTGGTACGCTCCCGTTTACAAAAAATTCCGTTGCTACCTGCGCGAGGACGGACAGTCAGCGAAACATACTACCACGCGAAGGGGTTGGCTAAGCGTTCGCCGTTTTGTCCGCCAGGCAGCGAAGGGCAGTGGGCCGACGAGTGCAGTGGTGCCGTTCCACCCGTCGGTCGCGGCGCTTCGATCGCACTGTGCATCGCTGTCACCGACGTAATGGTCACACGTGACCCCTGTAAACCAGTTTCCGCCGCTTGCAGGAAGCGGGATTGTGTAAACAATGTAAGCGCATGTTAACACATCCAAAGGTTTGTAAACGAATGCATTGAAAGATGTACAAATAAACAAGAAAGTGAAAAAAAATACAAAAAAAGAAAAGAAAATTCTCTCCTGCTCGGACTAATGCCAGAGTGGTAATAAGAATTGGATTATGATAAAACGGTTGTTCAATACCTGATCTGATCATGCTGTTTGGCTCAACTTCTTAAGCATGAAAGTACAAAGCACAGCTGTCACCCTCATTTTTTAGGGCAGATGCTCAACTTTCTCCAACATCCGTAGAGCGATGACCCGGTTAGAAGCATAGCTGAGCTTCTGTAGGACGGTCACTGGACCAACAACCATGCACGCACTTACAGGGCATCCGAGAAGCCCCGACTACCTACCCCGATGTGATGCTCTGTATCGGGCGAGCTGGAGGGCCACGGACGGGGTGACCTAATGTAGGTATACCCTGGCCGTGGTTACGGACTGTATTGCGTCATTCGTGGTAGGCACTGAATAAAGACAGTTGATGCCATTAATGAAACAGGCAAGGACAGAGAAAGGGTATGTTTAAGCATCACCGCGATGGCTGTGATTAGAGATGTCAATCGGATACCGATTTTTGGTGTACCGATAGTCGATACCAAACCAATACCAACTTGGTATCTGGTATTTCAAGGCGAATCAATTTGGTATTTTGTTGGTATTATGAATCCTCACTTATGTAATAGGATGAGAAACAACAAACGATCTTTTTAGCATACATTTTGTTCACAGATGTTATTCGAATTGTGAGATGAAGCAAGTGAACAACAGGCATTTTCCCAAGGCATTCGCTATTGTCTTGAATAACAATAATCCTCTTTCTGGGTGTAAAGCTATCAGAGCCCCTGGGGGATATTGATAACATTATCCCCACTAAATCTCAATCTTAGTCGTTCATCGTGGATTTAGAAGCGCTAAACGACTTCATTTAAATGGAAATTGGAGCTAACTTTCAGTGAAATCACCTCTAATCGACCCTTTACAGTTCTAGAAGTGGTTAATATATGAAGCAGTTTACTACTGCTGGGGTCCATCCTATCTGCGACGCTTAAGGTCATGACCCCATTGGAGTGCTCGTACTAAATAAGGCCAGAAAAAAAATAATTCATTATAATTGGTTAGGTATGGGAAAGCATGATATGTGATCTGTCCTATCTACCTTAACACAATATTATTATATTCATCTTGCATCATGTTAGAAAGTCAACTGGCATGCCATACGTCCTTTAAATGCGCATTGCGCATTACCCGCTGAAGGTGTGAGGCTACCTACCTTACATGATGTTATTCCGTTTCAGACCTTCACAGTAAAATGTACAGCTCTCAGGAGGACCTCAAGCAGCTGACCGACCCACAGAAGGTACACGTGGACATCGCATATCGAGGGCCGCACGTCTCCTTCCCAATGGGACCGAATGACATCAGCAACCTCATCGAGGGATTCAAAAATAAAAAGGTCAGCTGATGTAACCAGCAAAGGGATCTAAAATCTTGCTGATTGAGTTTTTACTTGAGCCGAAAAAATAAGTAGTTTTACATTTAGCACGCTCTCTTACTTGATGCAGCCATTAATGCGTTAAGATAAAGTACGGTATATCATGAGCGCGCCACTGTCAACCTCATGAAATAATGCACCGCTATGAGGACATTAATCATCTCTAAAGCACCACTCCATTTGCGTCGCCAGCTTTCATACAGGAAACGCCCCCTTCGGATGACTATCACGTAATGCACACCCTATTAACACACCCACCCATCTCAGTCCCCGCCACCCCAGTGACGTCAGCGGACTCCAGTGACGTCACCGGTCTGTCTTCGGCAGCTGCTGCACATCCACTACGTGTACGGTATCCTGCACGAGGCGATCCGGGTGCTGCGGACGCTGGCGTCCCTGAACCACGCTTCCACGGCTGTGTCTGGACAGATCACTGTCTGCGGCGACCTGCACGGGAAGCTGGACGACCTGCTGGTCATCTTCCACAAGGTCAGCTCGGGTTGGGGGTTCTTAGCATGGATAACTTCTAACGATTTGCATCAGGGAGTCTCATACGTGATGCTCATCAGGGTACCGGATCAGTGACTAATGTGATCATGCCATATAACTTCGTAGAAACCCTACCAATGTCCTGTCACTATGTTGGCATATGTCTGCTGTAGCTGACATACATTTGTCTTGTTGAAGAAGCCGTAAATTCAGAAAAATTATAGCTTAACTTTTCCGACGATCTTTTCTTTGCGTTGCCGATGCTGGCCGATCTGATTTCTCATACCATGGACTCCCCGAGTCTTACAAGACCCTGCTTCATAGATGGCGCTAGTCGTCAGCGCCTGGAGTTATGCTGTGCCGCACGGCTTTCACTGAAGCATGCTGTGCCGCAAGGCGCGAGACGGACGCGAACGCCTACAGAAAGACATGTCGCTTTAGCGTCTGTACTCGCCAAGTTTACCAAGTAATCACACAGCTAGGGTTTGATATGTTGAGGGGTTATATTATATGCCTGAGTGAGTCCTTACCCTTGAATTATATAATTAGTTAGGAAAGGCAATTAGTATTCGGCCGGTGCAATTCACCCTCTCGGACGTTAGCAGGCCGACCGACATAAACCGCTCGGCTTGTATCCAATCACAATTAAGCCACGGTCAAAGTACCCTGTTAACCCCAGCTGTCCACCCCCGTTTAATCAGAGTATGGCCATGGCTGTGAGATGCGTTCCTGCAGAGTCATCGGGATAGAGTTAGATCTCAGAGACAGACGGGATTTAATTGGAAATCATTAAGAATAAACACACTTATGAACAATAGAGCATGAAACATCCTTTTGAATCATTACCAGTTAAGTTGAGCTAGCTGATACGTTTCTTTTTCAGAAGGGCGGAATCAATCATATGCCTGTATCTCATCCGTTACTGTATCTCATCCGTTACCAAACGAGTTACAATAAGCCAATGGAACTGAGCGCCTCGGCATGAAAGCTCTGCATCACTGTCATGGAACACCATTAACGTCAAATAAGCTTCCTTTTTCGGTTGAATTACGATACGACTCGCCAAAGCGCACCAACGCACGCAGTGATTTGCCTCCACTGCCCACCGTCCAACGCGCTGACAGCCTGTGCACTGTGCAGGCAGTAATTCGTTACCGTAAGTTCAGTACAATGCACCAGTTCACAGTTCATTCACAGCTCACCCCGGGGAGGTATTCATCATTCGTTTCTGCGGCTGTAGTACGGCACGACCCCCGCGGCTGCCGTCAGTCCCTCAATCCCTGCGTGATCCCGACTGTCGGTCGGCCGAGCTGCGTAAGCCTTTGGTCAAATATCCGCCAGGCTGCGCCGAGCCGCGCTGGGCGGGCCGACGTGTCGCCCCTCGGCGGCTCGGTCCACGGGCAGGGATCATAAGTCAGGCGGCGCACGTGCAGGGCTGGTGGCGCTCGCCGGACCCGGCGGCTAATGGTAGCGTCCATCAATCCCTGGAGACGTAGCGCCTCATCGGTCGGCCTGCCCAGAGAGTGGGCGGCGGTAAATGCAGAAAACACATCGCTGTATTTGGTACCGTGAGAAATCGAGCGTGAAAACGTACCAGAGTCCAAACAAGGCGGAATTGATCGCACCGATTGTGCACACTGGACAACCTCGGGTGGGTTTATAGGCGTCACCCCACATCTCCATCCACCCATGGTGCATGGAGGCGCCACAATGGCGCGGCGCATATCCATCACAGACTCTTGACCGTTGATGATGAAAGACGCGAGTCTGCCTCTCGAGACCCTTCGGTCTAGCGGACAGGATAGGGGGAGGAGGGGAGGGTGACGATCGATGGGGGAGGGGGTCCGATGACCTGCGAGCGGGCTCAACTGCAGACAGCTCGCACGCAACAGACGGCGCGCGGCGCGGCACCCGTTGCCTGCGGCTCGTCAGTGTCCATCAGGCCGACTGGTCGGGAGCTTCCACCGCTATCAGCCCGATCGGTACCCAGGGACGCACCCCGGGCCGCCGCGCGGAGCTGCCCAATGACGTCCGTATTGATACGGTGTAGCCGCCAACGGTGGCCCATACACCAATCGCCAACTCCCCGGTGGGTTCTTTCGTATTGGAGGGGATATTTTCGGAACCCTTTGACCCGTCAGCAAGATATATTTATCAAGCTTTAATGCTGATGAAGCAGATCTATCAAGCAATGAATCAGATCAGTCATTGATCGGATTTCCATTAATCATTCATAAATAGCATCGTTAAAATCAACGCATGAACCGCAAATCGTAAGCAGTTGAAATTAGGGGCTCAGTCCAGGTAAAACTCGGTAATGAAACTTCAGATATCGTTAATGCCATTTGCCTCGATTTCATTGGTAGCATGTTACGTTAAGGCGACTGATGTCTGCAAAATGTCTAATGCAGCCTTTTTCGTGACAAAACTGATGAGAATAAAAATTAGATCACGATTTTGGTTTTACGACTGATGTCGTGTGATCCGACAATCACCAAATATATTATTTTATATAAAATCACACCAGACAAATCAATTACCAAGGTCTAACGTCTCAGACCATAGTCTTGCACGAAACGTTACTTGATTGACATGCTTGGCATGAAAACAGCGTTTCATCATAAACAGAGTTTCATTGAGCCCGTTCTTAATCCCGCAGAACGGAATGCCGTCCATCGACAATCCGTACGTATTCAACGGCGACTTTGTCGACCGGGGCAAGAAGTCGATGGAGGTGCTTCTGATCCTGCTGGCGTGCGTGGTGGTCAACCCGCACGAGGTGTATCTGAACCGAGGCAACCACGAGGACCCCATGATGAACGCCCGGTGAGTTGGGGATGGGGTAGGATGGTACGGATGAGGGGGAGACATTAGTTGAATGAGACGAGACAACTATCAAAAACACCAACCAAAGGACGAAGCATTGTTCCTAACAAAGTCGTTTTTGATCTTATTTTGTGTCTAATACCTCCCATTCGGTGCCGATTTATCACCACCGTTTTTAACGCAAAATGTGACGAACAAATTTAATAGGATTCTCCTCCATGTCTATCTCCACTACGTTCTCCAGTCAGGAGGGATGGCTCCGACACAAACCACATTGCCGAAATTGATTTCCTGTCAATACATCTCGACTTCGGAGAGCTGTCAGCAGCAGTAGGGATCCCAACAACGTCCGTCGGTTAATTCACACAGCCTGACCCGGCGGCGGCCGCGGCCCGGCCACCGCCCGTCTCATTAGTGCTTGGAGTCGCCGCGACTGACGAGCCCGCCGCCCGGGCGCGCGGTGGTGAGGCCGTCCCTCGGCGCCGTGTACGCTCCTCGGTACCTACCCAGCTCGCCGGTACCCAGAGTTGATCGATGAGGCCACTGGAGCCGGTCGGCGGGCGGTGGTTAGGCCGCCGGTCGAGGTGGCAGGTCAGCGGTAATCAGCGCTAGTTGGGGCCTGTCACCGGTCAGCCGGCGCACGGTTCCTCTGATGCGGCCGGCGCTCCGTCGACCTCATCAGCGGTACAGCGGCGCCGAGCCGCCCGAGATTACCTCACCAGCGCCATTGAGCGAGCAGAGTGACGGCCGTTATAGCGGCCGGTTATTAGCCACCCGAGTCAACAACGAAAGCCTGACGGGGCGCGCTGAAACGACCAGCATATATACGACGGTATATACTATATTGTACACTTTCAAGCAATACTTTTCATACCTGCTCTTATATCATAAATCACTCGTCATAATCTGTTCACTTATAATTGATCTTCAGACAATGATAATCACTGTATGTGGCCATCCGACCATCGATTTCGACCGTTTACGTGTCGCTCACAGTATTTAATTATCATCGTGTCGCTGTAATAACCACTCCGTTAGTGTCGCAGGAGTGGACCCGATGTTTATGACCGGGTCACACTGGCCGGGGTGAATTAATCACATCAAATCCCATTAGAGCCAGTCGTGATTATACAGATGGGGAGGTCCTAGGCTCGAAACAGTAATGTAATGGGCGCAGGTGATGTGCAGAGAGAACAATAATTGATGGAGAGTTCTAAACTGGCCCCAGCGTCAAGGCAATGCATGGCAGAAGTAGGTGCTGACAAGCTAATATAGCATATGATGTAAACAGTAAATACCGTATTATAATAAAATCCACCGCACTATATTTTTGTCAAGCTTAAAATGCATCACTTTAAAAGATGCTGGACTTGATTTGTCACTTGACATTTTCAACACTCCAAAGTTAGAGGCAATACACTGTAAAAAAATGATAACACGTTTTGTGTTATATGGCCAAAAACGACTCGGTACAGCCGTATCTCATAACACGCCACCGTGTTTTCTCATACACGGTAAATCCGTGCTACATAACTCGGTATGAGTTTTGACTTTCCAAAAAGTGGTGTTCCGTAACTCGATAAAGACATGTTACCGAGTTCGATAACTCGCCAACATGTTTCTAGCGTATCGAATAACGTGTAAAATAGCTCGAATTAAAGATGTTAAGTGTTCAATAACACCACTGGTGTTTCTGGGCTCGGATAATTATCGGCTACATAAACTTATTTGTGTTAACATATCCGGAAATTAGATGTTAGTAAACTCGCCATAAACGTGTAACGTGTTTCGTAGCTCGGTTCGTGTTCATATACTTCCCGTCCAGTACCTCCTTTTAGAATGTATATTAACGCAAAATGAGCTGCATTACACGATTCAATGATCACGTTGAGTGAATATATGAGTATATAATTCATGTGGACTTATTGCGATGAAAGGCGTACCTTCTGTGATGCAAACGGGGCTGTAACAGGCCCAGCCGCGTTTAAACAGAGGTAACGTCTTTAACCGCAATAAATCGACATGAAGTATACATTTATACAACTCATTCCACATAATTATTGAGGCGTGTAACACAGTTCGTTTTGCTTTAACACACATCCTCGTTAGCCAAGTTCATTAAGTCTCAGAGTACAGATCTACTCATTATATATTTCAACAGATTGTTCACAGTAAACAATACACATGCGCTCTGAGCCTCATCAGAAGTAACACCACGGCGGACGAGCAGTGGACAGTGGTCCTCCGCGATCAGCAACACTAGTATTGTGAAAGACACCTATGAATAACACGTCTTTGGGCCTGGCGATGGGAGAGTAGAGGTGCCGTTTCACATGCATTAACTGGCGCGGTCTTCAGCTTGTCGAGCCGATCGTCGCAACGATTTTTTTAACGACTTTCCGGTCGACATTTGGAGAGCTATTGCGTCAATACTAGCTGGGAGTTCTGACCGCTGCACTATGGGTCCGATGCACGATTTAGCACGCCAAAAATGATTTAGGTGACTTTCTCAAAATTGCTTGAAATGTGACGCAAACAACGTAAAAATGTCCATATTTTGCGAACACAGCAGTAACTTTTGCCAAAAATGTCACATGTGCCCAATATTTCATCGCAAACTGACACATATCATGGAGCGCCATTGCCTTGTCCACGTCCGAGAGAAAAGGGACGCTGGAATTATCCGAGTATAGGCGCTTCTAAAAAATAGTTAAACGGAAATATTTGGTCAAAACTAATAATTTGAAGCTTGGGCAATGTGATGAATGCAAAATAAGTCAACTGTGTCATTGCTTTTTTATTGTTACAGCTAATTTAAATATCCATGTCACACATGTGTGCGCAATGCTTCAAGAGACTTACAAATACAGAGCAATACTAAATGCCCCCCAATGCCCCCCGGTATTTTTGGTATTAACTTGCTCCCCAATACTTGCCTAACCAGAAACAAGGTCATTTAGCTGCGTCCACCTGCGACGAAGCAAGTTATGAAGCTTTTTTCCGATGATGTCACTGCGCTTAGCTGCGGCTGTGACATACCGGCGAACGCTGCGGCAGGGTCACAAAGGCAAAAAGACCAGGGTATTGGTGGATACGACTAATATTTTATAGACATATATGACAGGAACTCATAACTGATGGTTTTGTAAAATAAAAACTGGCAGTTCTTTCGGGTTAGTGGTCCGAATTCCGGACGTTCCAGCACTAGTCTGGCGACCTGGCCCTCAGGCGGTTTGGCCGCGTGCCCGGCGCAGTCTGGCGACCTGGCCCTCAGGCGGTTTGACCGCGTGCCCGGCCCACTGCCCTGGCCGGGGTAGTTTGAGCTTGACGATTGTAGCAAGCGCACGTATATTCTTGTCGTTCCATCACTAGCAAAACAGGCAGATAAGCAATGTGTATTGCTTACAAAGCCATTCTTGACATCGTCTTGACCAGTCCAGATGGTGTAGGGCCGGCTCAAGTAGAGGATTTTTCAGCTAGCATCGCTCGTATTTTGAATGTTCAATTGACGACTCATGACATTCGAGCTCTGGGAAAGCTGCTTAACAAGTTAAAGGAAAAATGGGTGGCCGCTCATCGCAATAAAGATCGCTTTATGTCCAGAAACCAACATTGGACTCAGCTGACATTTTGTCTGTCAGAGCCTGTCTGCAGTCCGTCATCGGCAGATGGCAGAGGCCGCCGTCCGTTACCCTTTCCGGAGATGTCGCACCGCAGTAAGCTGAGGGCGACCGAGGACTTGCGTCGTGAAACCAGCTCAGGGACACTGGTGTTTGCCGCTGCCTCAAACCTGCAGAAAGATGGTCGCCGGTTATCAGGCCGGCTCGTCCAGGCGGTTGCATCTCCGAATCGCGGTCCACTATTAGCAAAGAAACTGGAGAAGCCTGATGCCTCTGTCACTCAATACACGCCCGAGGAGGCTCTAGCGCTCCTTGTGGACACCAGCCTCAGCAAGGAACAGTACCTTCACCTAAGGATGGAGGCTAAGGCGCGAGGGGCCGACATCTATCCCAATTACCATCGAGTCCGCACAGCAAAGGCTACCTGCATGCCGCCTGATGACAGCATTGAAGTCACTCCGACATTCGCTCAGGTCAGGCTCCAATCCCTGCTGGACCACACCACCGAAAGACTGCTAGAGGCACAGAAGGAGGTGACGGAAGGCCTCAAGCACAGTGATGGTCGAGATTTGAAACTCGTCTGTCACTTTAAGTGGGGTGTCGACGGAAGTTCCGGCCACAGCCAGTGGCAGCAATCCGGCGGCTATGAGGATGACCAGGTCGTAGTCACGTCCCTGGTACCCCTACAGCTGGCGACAGAAAATGGGGTGACTGTCTGGCACAACGGGACCCCGAACTCGCCTCGATTTTGTCGCCCCGTTACAGTCAGATTCGCCAAGGAGACGCCGTCGCTGGTGCAGCAAGAGAAGCAGACGATGGATGAGCAGATTGCTGAGCTCAATCCATTGAAAAGCGATGGGGTGACGTGCCAATACATGCTGCAGATGTCAATGATTGATGGGAAGGTGGTGAACGCCATCACCGGCACCACTTCTGCACAGAGATGCAGCATGTGCGGCGCGACGCCAAGGAACGTCAACAAGCTGGACGAGGTGCGCCGCCTGCCGGTCACTAACCTGGAGTATGGACTCAGCAGCCTGCACTGTTGGATCCGCATCTTTGAAGCGGTACTTCACATCAGCTACCGGCTGCCGATCGAACAGTGGCAGGTCCGCACGGACGAGCATCGGAAGCAGCTGAAAGAGAGGAAGACGTACGTCCAGAAGCGCATGCTCACCTCACTCGGTCTCCGCGTGGACGAGCCGAGGCCAGGCGGGAGTGGCAACAGCAATGACGGAAATACTGCGCGGAGAGCGTTCCAGAGCCCCGACAAGTTCGCTGCCGCCACTGGAGTCAACGAGCAACTCATCCATCGTCTTCATGTGGTGCTGCAGGCCGTCAGCAGCTGCCTTCCGCTCTCACCCGAGTCACTGGAAGCCT